AGACCCGCCTGGACAAGATCCTGTGCAGCCTACTGTAGGTGACCCTGCTTCGGCAGGGGGGTTGGACTAGATGACCCACAGAGGTCCCTTCCAACCCCTACTATTCTGTGATTCTGTAAATACACACATTTCTTTTAAAAAAGAAATGTAAATACCCAGATGCAAGACGACTGCTGGTGGCAGCCTTGTTTTTAAACATTGCCTCCTGGTGCCATGATCTTCATCACAGGAGACCTGTGGCTGATGGCTAGCAGTCCAGAGAAATTTGCTCTAAGCACCAATTTGAGCTCTAATCCCATTTTGCAAGGACTTTGTCCTCTGCAGGGGGGGGGGGGAAACTACCCAAAAAACCCCCCAAAAAACAAACCACTTCCAGGCACCCGAATTAGGGTTTCATCATCACCTTTCTCCCCCAACAAGATTCTGCAGGGGCCTTGCCAGCATCCCACAGTTACAGCTCCTTTTATGCAACTTTTGCTCACAAGTGTTGTAATCACTCCTCCTAGATCACGTTCCAGATGATAAAACGATGAGCCACGGCTGCAAACAGAACTCCTTTCATCACCATAAAAGTGTGTTTGAAAAATAAGCAGCTGACATATTTTTCATCTTTTCATTCCCAGAAAACAGTATATCATCACGTTTTAAATGTACTTCTACTTAATATGCACATATTACATATTTAACTTCATTAATAAAACCATTACAATAGACTCAATTCTGAGTTTCAAGTCATGCTGTTACAATCATCCATGGCAAAAACAGAATCTAGGGACACGCGAAACAAGAAAAGCCATTTGCTACCACAGGTGATGGCAATGGCAAGAACATCTTCACCAAAATTAGTTCTCTGCCATACTACGTCAAGTACAAATTGATCCATCATCCTAAGCCTAGCACAGAACAAGAGAGAATATGAATCACCTTCATTTTATGGATGCAGAGCAGGATTACAAAGCCATTAGGTGACTTGTAATATCAGAAGCTTCAGCCTGTAAATTAGCGTGTATCTCCCCAGCTCACTACCTTAACCATCAAGGCGAAGTCTTCCTGCCTGATAAGGTACAGAGTGATATATAAACACAGAAAGAATCTTATGTTGTACTGCAAATAATACACTATTCTGAAAATCAAAGCCTCTCAGTTTTCCTAATGCAACAATTAGCTGACAGAATGAAGCAACAGGTCCAGCTGCTTAAGTTACTGGCAACACATTACTGAGTTGAGAGAGGAGCTGTCGCCAAGACAAAGTGATAGGAATGAAAGATGGAAGCATTTTTGAAGCATTTGATCTCACATTCCTGGCTCTTCCACTGACTGTTTAAGCAGCTGGAGCAAAACCAAAAGCCACACGCTTGCCACACTGCTCTACCTGGCACATTTACTACAGACAAAGACTTTTGAGTTCAAGGAACAGAACAAATTCACACAGTGCCTTATCATAGAATGGTTTGGGTTGGAGGGGACCTTACAGATCACCTAGTTCTAAACCCCCTTGCCATAGGTAGGGACACCTTCCACCAGACCAGGTTGCTCAAAGCCCCGTCCAACCTGGCCTTGAACACTGCCAGGGAGGGGGCACCCACAGCTTCTCTGGGCAACCTGTGCCAGGGCCTCAACACCCTCACAGCAAAGAATTTCTTCCTTTTACCTAATCTAAGTCTACCCTCATTCTGTTTAAAGCTATTACCCCTTGTCCTATCACTCCATGCCCTTGTCAAATGTCCCTCTTCAGGTTTCTTGTAGGCCCCTTCAGGTACTGGAAGGCTGCTCAAAGGTCTCCCCGCAGCCTTCTCTTCTCCAGGCTGAACAACCCCATCTCTCTCAGCCTTTCCTCACAGGAGAGGTGCTCCAGCCCTCGGATCATTTTTGTGGCCACCTCTAACACCGCTTTAACAGCTCCATGTCTTTCCTGTGCTGAGGGCTCCAGAGCTGGATGCTGGAACAGTGGCCCTTCTGGGCTGCGAGCACAAACTGCTGGGTCATGTCCAGCTTCTTGTCAGCCAGCAGCCCCAAGTCCCTCTCCTCAGGGCTGCTTTCAATCCATTCTCTGCCCAGTCTGTATTTGTGCTTGGGATTGCCCTGACCCACGTGCAGGACCTTGCACTTGGCCTTGTTGTACTTCATGCGGTTTGCACAGGCCCTCTGGTCAAGCCCGTCCAGCTCCCTCTGGATGGCATCCTTCCCTCCAGTGTGTGACCGCACCACACAGCTTGATGTAATCTGCAAACTTGCTGAGGGTGCACTCAATCCCCCTGTAGATGCCACTGACAAAGATGTTAAACAGCGCCTGTCCCAATACCAGCCCCTGAGGAATGCCACTCATCACTGGTCTCCAAGTTGGACATCGAGTCGTTCACTGCAACTCTTTGAGTGCAACCATGCAGCAAATACCTGGTCATCCAAGTGGTCCATCCACCAAATCCATGTCTCTCCAATTTAGAGACAAGTTATTACATACCAAGTCCATAATCTTCTCTGGTGCCTCTATGGTAACAAACAGGAAAAGTGCAGTCAGATGAACAATGAGAACCAGAAGAGTCATTCAGAGGATGCTCTGTGTGTCTCCAAACCAGCCAAGAGCCTGAAAAGGAATTCTGGAAACTCCACACATCTGCCTGGACAGAGAAAGGGTATTGCAGAACACCAAGGTTACCCCTGGAAAAGCGATCCCTATCAATCCCACAAAGTTTGAGGGTGAGTAGAAGGATACTTCCTCCCAGAGGACGACAATGGATGAATCATCAAGTATACAAAAAGCTGTAAAATGATAACAGCCCAGGAAGGACACAGGCTGTCAAAACTCAGTGATAAACAAAGAAAATCCCTTTATGATTTTGCAACCGATCACAGAAGACAAGACTCCCACCCAAAAGCAGGTCATTTTCTTGAGTACTTTTATCAACAGCAGGAGGTGGTGTCACAGTGCAGCTGTCAGACATTCCCCAGGGACTGCAGATCACAAGGCCTGTCTTGCGCTGAAATGTGATTTAGCGAAACAGAGACAGTAACAGATCAAAACTTTAATTTAAAACTTTACCAACAAAAATTGATTACAAAAAGGGAAATTATCTGTACAAAATAAGAAAGGAGGTACTCATTTAACGACAGACTGCCATTGTCAGTGTACACTGGAGGACAAACAGTGCTTCAGGTCAAGTGACAAGTGAGAAACAAACTGAGCTCATAATACAGAATTCTGAAGTGAATTTTCCATAAACTAAAGTAAATTGACCTTAAGCAGCTCAAAAGCTAATCAAGACTTACCAGAACTCTACTGTCCTTGCAGACCTTTTCCTCTTAATTTAGAGGAGGATGTACTAGAAAGCAAGGCCCAGCACAGTGCACTGGGCCAGGACAATGACTTTTGCCATGCTTCCTCCCACCCAAGCCTTCCTTCTGCCCTTCTGTACAAAGATGTTCCGCAATTTGAGTGTGCCAGGGGTTTAGCTGAGTCACAAACTATTGCATCTTCACTTAACAGTTAGGTCCAGACTCAAAATGAAGACAAACGCTTTGGAGACAGCAATATTACTATGACTATAAAGACCAGCTGCATCATGACACCTATAAAAACGATGGTTCTCAGCATCAAATAACAGCTGTCGGTCAATGACAGATTCGTATTTACAACACTGCAGTCCTCTACCTACCATTTTATGCAAAGAAAGAGTTAAAGTCTTTAAAACTCATCACTGAATAGACAAAAATGGAAGGCGATTTCTGAACTCCAAGCTCCTGTAAAACCTAAGGACACAACATGATCATTGCCAGTTTTCTACCTTTTTCCACAAGCTGAATCAACAAAATTGAGTTGCAGTGAAGAAATGGGGCATGCATTTTCTTTCAAGCAAGCCAGCTGAAAACTTCCCGTCTGGCCGCTTACTTTCCACTCAGTTTCAGATCATATAGTACTTCCAAGTTTTTAAACCTTCAGAACCCGGGTTTAGTGAAGAAACAAAGTAGTAATAAAAATGCTTTGGCCCAGATTCACTTCACCTACTTACAGATACCTGAGATACCTAAGTTGGGGCAGAACAGCTTTCTGTGCCCAGCAAAGAGACAGACAAATAGTGAAGGGAAATTGGGTCAGAGACTTGAATCTCATCCTAGTGACGATGCTGCTCTTCCTCCAACTATAAAATAAAAAGTGAGCAACTATATTCCAACTTAAAGGTCTTGGTTAAGCTTAAGAGTAATTGCGTTCCTAGCTTAAATGTTGTCATTCATGCGAACCTAAGCCTTACCTTGCTCACGAGCAGCTCCCACCTAGGAGAGCCGGGGACAGGTACATTTTACGAATGCTATGAGATATGCGCGAGTCCTCCTTCCAGCTGGGAAAACTGAGATAAGTAAGCAGTTTGCTCATGTCCATGTGGTGAGTTAGTAACGAGCTTGCATCACAGCTTCCTGCGTCTTCGCCCTGTGCTCTACCCACAGGAACCCAGTACGAGGAAAACTACTGTACAGAATCATTCCCTTTTCCGTCTCAAAAAGTTTTACCAAAGAAGTACAGATACTAATAAACAGTGTACGTAATTTCTTATTTGACAATCAAAGAGTCCTGCATAAAAGCAATCTCTTCTATTGTATCTTGACCCTGGAAAAGTTTATTTCCAGCTTTGATTCTTTGACATCTTAAAGCTTTTAAGAGAAAGCTGAAGACTGAATTAACAAACATAATGCTGCAGTCAGTACCCTTTACACTAACCATAATGATACATCACATTTTCTAGTTTAAGTAGTATTTGTGCTACCCAATTTTGCAATCAAAATAGAAACCTCGAAGCCAAGAATTCACAGATCTCAGGGAAAAAAGTCGAGCCAGACAACTTCAGCTTAAACAGAGCAAGCCGTGTAACATGCCACAAAGAGTTCAGAGATTTCAATTCTGTGAATATGTTACTGCCATTTCAAACGAAAGCCCTCTTATCCTTAGTCTTGCTCATCCTATGCTGTAGCAGGTAGGACAAATGCTGCACGGCAAGAAAAAACTCCCCTCAAAACACAGCTTAATAATGGAAATGAAACATTTGCACTTTGCTTTATGAATGCAGTAGAGAGATATCACTTCAATAATGCTTCCAAAACCCTGGGACTTAAGCACAGCTATGGAAAAAGTCAGCTTCCTAAACTTTGGGGTTAGTTTGATCCACCTGTCTCACACTGGATTCTTACCTTACCACGGTCAACAAAGCTTTTAATGTACCAGGTGAGACACAACACCATCGGCTTGTTCCATCACATCACGGAACAAGATGGCATAATGGATGCCTGTTGTGACAGACAATACTGTATAAAGAAAGCTTTTTTTAATGGCAGAAATAAATTGGACACTACTGGCTAACCTGGAGCAAGATCTACATTTTTCCCTTCTGGAGTTTTTAATTTTCTCTTGAACCAGAAACATTCTTTCTAATCAGTTAAATCCAACAGTACTACAGAGAGCTCAGTTCTTAAGCACGCTCTGCACCAGGAAGGGTTGGTTCTACGTCCAGTTAAAACCAAAGAGTTGCTGTTTTCCAAGGGCAGGAATTCTTCACTGGTCACCCAAACGGAAACCTTGGCCCCAGTTGTGTCTTCCACCACCCTGCTGATCTTCTGCAGCTCTTCTCATGCTAGCAGGTGGGACACCAAACCCCGACACTCCTCCTCTCCTATTTGGCAGCCAGCGGTACCTAGGACAAGCCAGAACAGAAGGAGAGAGTTTGAGAAACAGCTGTACCTTGGGGGTAAACACCAGACTACTTTCCATGCACTTCCTTTCAGCTGCTAGACTTTGCTATAAAACCAGCTTTTCACAGCAGTATTTCACAGAATTCTTTCCAAATCTAAACCCTCAGCACACTGAGAAATGGGAATTCTGGAGAACTTCCAGCTCTGGGATATGGTTAGATAGAATAATCCAAACACAGAGGAAAAAAAAACATAAATCATATACGGGAGTCTTATTGTTGAGAATAAATGCTGTGATACAAACGTAATCCCCCTAACTTCCTCCCTTTTTTTCCAGGGGAAATAATAAAAAAATCCAAATCACTTCTGAGCATCTTTCTTTAATAATTACCAAGCTTCTGTCACCACAGCATCTAATCATCTCACTGCTCTCCAAGTAAATATTCCTGAGGAGCCAAGGACCAAAGAGACTAAGGGAAACAGGCTCAAGCAACTGGCTTATTGGAAATCAAAGCTCAAGTGACCTGGCCAGGGCAAATCAGAGCTGTAAGACTTCATATCCCACTTAGGCTGCCATCTAAATAGAGTGATCTAAAATACAGCTTCTATATCTTGCCATCAATGCAGAGTCACTTCAGCTCCACAAGAGTTACACTGAGCTCCTGCAAATCCCTTGCGGAACAGAACCACTAAAATCTGAGGCCCAGACATAAAACCCACATTCCTTTCAACAAGAAAAATGATCTTGTATAGAAAAAGTTCATCATTATTATATTAAATGTATCTGTAATTCATCACAGTATCTTTTTTTTACAAAAAACATTACAGTGCAAAGGCAGAATCTATCCCTCTTTAGAGACATTTGTCTCTCTTCTGTTCCTGCTTCTCAGAGAAAAATTAAATACACATATCAGTAATCAAGAGTTGCACGTAACCAACGAGACTGATGGCAGTTTTAGAGCTGTTATTACCTTGAAAGACATTTTAGAACAACATTTTGTCTTCTAATCTTTATGGAAAATCAGGTTTACCAGGAGGGCTTGCGAACACAAAAGTAGAATATAAAGCTTCCCTACTCATCAAGAAGATGCATCTTCCTGCATCAAGAAGAGTGTGGCCAGCAGGACAAGGGAGGTTCTCCTTCCCCTCTACACTGCCCTGGTGAGGCCTCATCTGGAGTACTGTGTCCAGTTCTGGGCTCCCCAGTTCAAGAAGGATGAAGAGCTACTGGAGAGAGTCCCGCAGAGGGCTACAAGGATGGTGAGGGGACTGGAGCATCTCCACTACGAGGAGAGGTTGAGGGAACTGGGCTTGTTCAGCCTGAAGAAGAGAAGGCTGCGAGGGGACCTTATAAATGCCTACAAATATCTGAAGGGTGGGTGTCAGGAGGATGAGGCCAAGCTCTTTTCAGTGGTGCCCAGCGACAGGACAAGGGGCAATGGGCACAAACTGAAGCACAGGAAGTTCCGTCTGAACATGAGGAGGAACTTCTTCCCTCTGAGGGTGACAGAGCACTGGAACAGGCTGCCCAGGGAGGTTGTGGAGTCTCCTTCTCTGGAGATATTCAAGACCCGCCTGGACAAGATCCTGTGCAGCCTACTGTAGGTGACCCTGCTTCGGCAGGGGGGTTGGACTAGATGACCCACAGAGGTCCCTTCCAACCCCTACTATTCTGTGATTCTGTGATTCTGTACTCATTAAAACTTGTACAGCAAGTGTAACTGTAACTCAGCTTTACATTTTATAATTAACAATTTATGCTACAAAAAGGGTTAACTGAGTTGCTAACTAAAGTTT